CAAAGGTGGCCCATCCGACTGTGCTTTGGGGGCTCTGGCTGTTGGAAATGGGGTGGCAGGTTGCCTGGCTCACCCGTTACATCCGCAGCTCCCTTCTGTTTCTCCAACAGTCTCTCTGTGTTGGCGATTCTTATATTTCCCTCTGTGGGTAGCAAGAGGAAAGACTTGAAGTAAATCCCACAATGAGTGTGCCTTGGATTCCAGCTGAGATCTCCCCCGTACAGATCTTTAGTATTGATTTTAACAATCTCCTGCACAGCATTTAAAGATACAGTTATATAATATTGTCTGTGCCAGCTTCAAAACCCATAACACCATCAGACATTTGTAACATCTGTATTAGGAACTCGGTCTCTATTTTAAGTCAATGAAAAGAAACAAAAACCTCCAGAGAATGAGTCAGATTTCTGCACACAGACAGCTCTAGTTAGGATTGAATAGTTTATATTCAAATACTACAATGTTTTTGCTAGTAGCGTTTTGTTTTTATTTTAACCCAAGTGTGAATATGGTTTTTTTCTGCTTTGATCTAGTTTTCAATGATGAAAATGCTATAATAAGAAATTTCTACTAGAAGAAAATCAAAGCCAGGCTCTTCTTTTAATCTTTGTATCACAGTTCTGTTATTACAGTTTTACTAAAAGGTAGCTCTGAGTAAGCCTGCATGCACAAGTCCCTTGGTGAGGCAGGGCTCTGAGTGACCCAAAAGTTCTTCCCTTACAGAGACACCCCTTTGAATTTCACACCAAAGCATGAAGCTTGTGCTGACCTTTCTTCTGCACTTCAGTAAGTACAAATGTCACATTTATTCAGGCTAATTTTGAAATAATATCATAGGATTTACATGTCTCTATAAGATTTTTTAGAACACTTTTTTAAGGTACATTATTGATAGTGATTCCTTGTTCTGTCATCTCCTGTCCAGGAGCTATGGGTCTGATGTGAAACCTTGAAGTACAAAGAAAAGATACAAATTGTAACTGAGCTTGAAGCAGGCCCTACAAGGGGCAGTGTATATCTGCTAGCAGCCAATAAGTGTGGATCTGGAAAATAAGAAAGGGCAAGATACAAACACAGGCATTGATTTATATTCAAATAATTAAGTTTCAACGATTATCCAAAGTATAGCCTGAACCATAAAATCTGGCTGTTGCAGATGTTTATACAAATATTCTTCATAAGCACTATGTATTTACTGCTGTAAGTGCACTAGTGTTTCTAATGTTCCTCTGGGATCTTCATGTATTGATTTTACTTTTTTAACCGCACTTTGTATAACAAGTCGAGCCAAGCAAAGCAGAACAGA